TTTCTCGTTCACCAGCTCGCCTCTCTGAGACCCGATTGACCGAGTGCATCAACGTGCACCAGCAACTGTTTGGCCTATCAGAACTCTCTTTGGTAGGTTTAGAGACCTTCTCCAGTGCTCCCAAGCATCCATCCTCCTGATCCCACAGCTCCAAGGCAGTGCAAGCACAGCTGTCCCCAGGTAAGAGAGCTGGATTTAGGCAGACGCACCTTCTCATCTTCCCGAGTGTGTCAGGGAAGCAGGAGTCTTCCCACCTTCCAAACCCCCCCCCCAAAGCATCCCCATCCTGGAGATCGAGTGGATGTGAGGCCAAATCAGGCTTGGAAGTCGGGAAATGTGCTTGAGCACTTGACTGCACCCAACAGGGTGTGAGGGTCCCTGAGCTCTGGCATCTCCTGAAGCTCTGGAAACCCATCGTTGCCCAGAGTTGGCTCATTCTGCTCCCAGCAGGATGCTCAGCTCCTGCTGCCCTTCTCCCACACTCATCCCACAGCCCTTGGTGCCCTCACCCACCCCCTGCAAACCCCTCCTTTTACCCTCCCACCCCCCAAATCCGGCTGTCTGAAAGGAGTGACCCCCCCTCTCCACTTAGGAAAGGGGAAACTGAGGCACAAACCAGCTGTGCAGAAACCACCATCCCTTCCCCACCCCCTGCCCCTGCAGTGACACCCCAAAGGGTGCCCAGCTGGTGGGAAGCCCCTCTCTCAGCCCAGATCCAGCCCCATGCCAGTTATCCCTGGCATGGAAGCAGCTCCCTGGGAGCCGCTGCCCATCCCTGTGCTCTTCCCTCCCAGGAGCCACTTTCCCAGATTAAAAACCCTGCTCTCATCCCCCGCTCTTGTTTTTATTGACAGCCCTGTCTTCTGTTGATTAAAATTCCTCTGAGTGCACCTGGTGGCCAATCCCATTCCCGAGCCAGGGATACCGTCACCGTCCCCCCCGGGTCTTTCTGCCCGTGCTCCCTCCCTGCCACATGTCCCCAGGTCTCCCTCCATGTGTCTCTTTGGCTGCAGAAAACAAAGGGAAAGAAGAAAAACGCTGTGGCATGATGGGGGGAAAAGGGTGATTTTTCTCTGGGCAAAGAAAGGGAGCAGTGTCGGGGTGTGCCAGGCTCTGTCCTCATCCCTTGTCTCGTTCTCCTGCTTGGCTGAGTCTGCACCTGGAGGGAGGGAGAGCCAAGGGAACCCGGGCCAGGAGGGGAGTCGCGCCAAAAGCACCGCAGTCCAAGTCTTGCAGCTCCAAACAAGCAGTGGCACCAAGGAAATCCCTGCCAGCCTTGGGGCTGCCGGAGCTGGGCCGGGATCAGCCACCGGAGAGGATCCTCTGCCCCATGGGGATGTGGGGAATACCGGGAGCATCCCAGTGCCTGCTGGACCCAAAAATGTCCCTGTGGGGACAGTCAAAACGTGGATGAACCCTTTCTGCTTCCTTTGGGATTTCTGCTCCCTCCAGGAGCTGTTGCTCTTCCACACCTGATCCTGGTGCTCCCCCAAGAGGGTTTTGCCCCCAGCTGGAGTCTGGCCTCTCCCATCTCCATCCCTGCACCTGCCACAACCTCCCCATGTCTCCATGGTCTGCTGGGAAGTCAAGATGCCCATGGCCTTGCCCAGCACCCCATGCCCAGCCCAGCCCAGCTGATGGAGCATCCAGAGCAAGAGCTCAGGAAGGCCTGCACCAGATGGGGATTTGGGATGGGAGTTTGGGATAGGGGTTTGGGATGGGGATTTGGGATGGGGCTTCATCCTCTCCTGCATTCCAACACCCCCATGGGGTCCTGGAGTGAAGGACCTTTCCTGGCTGATGGGTCACATCCACCTTCATGCAGCTCCAGGAAGGTTTGGCCACTCATCACACCCACCCCCACAGCGGATTTAGGCTGGGACCACAATTCCCAACCTGTAGCCCCAGGGTCGGGTGTAGATGGACTTTCCCCTCTCCCAAAGTGGAAAGAGGAAGGAGAGGGGGCCCCCAGGAGAGCTGGGGAATCCCTGAGGACAGTTTCAGTCCCTGAGCCTCCAGTTTGTTCCTCCTGACTCCCGTTTTGCCAGGGACCAGTGGGAACAGGCTGCATTTGGCCAGTGCAGTACAGAATGGTGATGGGAAGAGGCTTTGTCCAGGATGGAGCAGGGACCTAGTCCTGCTGCTGAGGGATGTTCAGGGAACATCTCCAGCCAGCTTTGCCCCAACCCCCCCC